TCCTATTACAATAGTAATTAAGGCGAGTTGTACACTCAGTACCACAGTTTCTTGTCGTCTGTGTGTTTCTTGATAGAGAAGGAGATGTGAGGAAGTTGGAATGAATTCATATAAACTTTTGAAACTGGGACACAAATTTTGAAAAAGAATTGTGTAGGATCAGAATTTATACCCTAGAACATTAACTTGTTAAACAGAAATTTACATAATCGTAAATGAAATCATGCTTGTCCATGATCAGACTTTTAAACAAAATGAAAGATTTTTCCTGCAATTGCCTATCTTGCTATTATTACTGAACTGTTCCACATGTAGTATTTGTGTGCTTGCAATTTATTTTACTCTTCAATAATATTGTAGGAGTTGTTGCCCCTTGGTGAGAACCCGATGTGATGATGTACTTCATAATTTTGTCCCAACTCATATTTCATTGTATTATCTGGAAACATTCTACCAGGGCGTATTATTACTGTGACATATTAACAATGGAAACTGAATCGTCTACAATCAATTATTAATGCTCTGTAGATACTGTCAGAACTCTGTTCATGATGGCTAGTTAGTTTGTTTAAAAAATCTAAGTGAAAAAATCCATATATGATTATGATCAGATTTAGCTGCTCTGTTCATCTTGATCTGAAACATTACAGAGCTAATCGATTAAAAATACAATTTTTGCATAATGATTTCATTTTGACACACTTTCGATCTTAAAATTAGTAAAAAAGGTAATGTAAACTAGCTTGTATTCCCGAGCCTTATTGACATTTTTCCAGCTGAATGATTTTGTTTGAAAAGGATCTGTTGTATAGGTAATGTCCTGTAGCCCAGTGTGTATAGAGCTTGTACCTGGGTGTATTTGGAGTCTGTGTAAGTAAACACAGAAATATCAGGAATTCGATAATTTTATTGAGCTCAAACTATGTTTGCACTGTAATTTCCCAGGATCTGGATTCACATATACATCATCCCTTAACTCAAGACCCCAAAATCGTAGATTTTCATAATCGGATCAACCTGGATTTCACAGTGCAAAATAACTGCATAAATATCGACATCCATTTTCCTAGTAGTGAGAAATGCAACCTGGGAGATTTTTAACAGTATATATGTTAATTCTTCTGTGTATGATGTACAGGTAAAATTTGAGTACCTGAGAGGAATTTCGACAAAATGTATGTGGACTTGTATGTTAAATCTAAGCAGATGAAGGCTTGTGTGTATAAAGAGCATTTGTTTATCTGAGGTGTCTTTGTATAAAAACATTGTGTTACCTGGACAGGTAAATATTGATGTAAAAATGGAAAAGTTATGTAGGTAGATGACCTGCATTTATGTAGGTAAACCTGCGGTGTCGAACATTATCATCAAGACCTAACCAGCACTCGTCATCAGTACATGAATTCTGGATTTGTAAATTTGATAAAGGGAGACAACTGTTGGCATTGTTTTTCAAGAGAATAGAGAATAGACAGTTGTTTATTGTCACCAGGATGTAAACAAAAATGGAAGTTATACCTATATCAGATCATTATGATTCTCCGGAGACCACTTTTTCTGTGAGTAAAATTAAACTGTCTGATTTTTAAAAAACGTTCATTACTTATATATACATTGCCGTTCGTACATTTCATTGTGATAATTAGCTGGGCAGCATAATGGAAATTATTTCTCCTCGGAGAACTACGAAATGGAAATTAAAATTTATTATTTTGCCTGGTGGGAGGCAAGGATAGAGTTTGGGAGTGGTACTCTCTAATTAATAAAATCTTACCAGCGCACAACATCACCCCCGAATACTTTAAGTATTACCTTGTTCCAAAGGAATATTTTAAGGAAAACATTTCATCGAATTTTTGTAATTTACTATGCATGGAAACCACATGATGTACTTGAAGACCTTGATTCAAAGAACTGCTCAACCAGTTGTTCTAATTTCATTGTATCATTTGTCAATTATAGTCACATGACTGCACATATATCGCGGTAAAAATTTGGTTCACACTGATGGTGCTGAAGGGTGCTTCATGCCGTTTCATGTTTTTCTGCAAGTTACGTGCTGAAAACAACTGTTTCGGACGGTTATTGATTAGTGTCGTAGTGCCTTTGAAACCTCTTACTGTAATTATGTAGAAAGGAATTTTGAAAATGTGTCAACACCAATTCAATAAAGTCTGTTGTTATAAAAATGAAATGACATCAAAATTTAATTATTTATTTGAGAAGAATTTTAAAGAATGATAAGACTTCCCGAAGCCCCTTACCATTACTCTTGACTCTACCATCCTCCTCCACAAAATGAAAAAAATATCAGAACGTTATATGATAAGAGGAAGTGATTATGGAGCTTTTAGGTTGTGTTTTGCTAAAAAAAAATACCTCGTTTGTTTGTTAGTGTGTTGGGTTGAACGCCATGTGAACAGACAGGGTCATTTGAGGCGGGGTGCCTTGCAGTTGCTGTTGGCAACTTTTCTGTTGCATGGAGTCCAGAGTGATTGGGGTAGTGTCTTGCTTGTTTGCTTTATATTAACACTGTAATGTAAATTACACATAAAAATTCTTTAAAATGATGGGAGGACAAATATACTTTATTGTCATGGTGATCTAATGGACCCAATGATTTGAACTCTGAGTAGTCCAGATTACGGTGTGAAAGAAAAGTTTTTTGTTCCTAATCTGTGAGCGATAATGAAGAGAGATTTCACTTTCTTTTTTAAATTTGCAAATATCTTAGGTTACACTTAACAATATTTGAATATTTTTGAGGTCACATTTCAAAGAATTTCATGAAAGCCAACTCAAAGACCACAAATATGAGAAAGCTTGCAGATGTGTTATTTTAGAATCTATAAAGGGAAACCAATTTGTACCACTTGGGGGGTAAAAAAAAATTGGTTGGATGAGACAGGGGGCCAGAATATACAGGTTCTCATATAGGTTGGAGTGAGCATGAAAATGGGAAAATGAAATTCAAGATGGCTGCCGTCTGCCATCTTTAGAATTTAATTTGATCTAATTTCTCAAACACCTCTTGAATTATGTTAATTAACTCTTGTAGGAAGGAACAGTAGGTAACTTTTTACAAATTATGTTGATTTTATGTTCATTAGAAGCAAGATATGGCCACCAGAGCAATTATCAGTAAATTAGTTACGAAAAATGACCCCGATTTTTGTTTGTGGACAAGATAACCTGAGACTGAAAAATTGGATTACAGGATTAAAGTTGAGTGTGATTAAGAATAATTCAGGAAATGTTACACTTCTGGATACCTTGGTCATTTCCATACACTTTCAGTTTAAGATAAGCCCATCCTAGGCAATAAGCCTACCCTTATTACTATTAAGCGAAATCTAGTTTCGTACAACTGCTGGGCTTATTGTACGATACAGACAGCCAGGTTTCCATGGGTAATTTTCAGAATTTTAAATTTAAGATTTCCGTGAACAAAAATTTGGCTCATTTGGCTGGATACAATGTCTCAGAAGATTCAAATTGAAACTCAATAAAAAAAAACATTCTGGCTTAATGATCTAATAATGAATGGGACATTTCAATTCTGAGACAGTGGGTTATAGCTGTGTCTGGGCTCATTGATTTGTATTGAACCTTAGTGGATACGTCGCCACCTACCTAGTACATAAACACAAATTGTTTGTTAGTTCGATATGCAATGTTATTTCAACATGTACATAGTTGGGTTTTTTTCATGATCGTTGCGTACAGTTCTAGGTAGTTGGTTCATAGTCAGGAGAGAATTGTAGTTATTCCAATTGGAAAATCTAAGTGTCAATTACAAAATGCTTAACAGATAAGATTGGAAAATTGTCTGCCAGGAAAGCCTGAGGGACTGCTGTAGTTCTGACATTACTTCAGCGACCGAATGGTAGCTGTTGCCGGGAAATGGTGCTGACGACAACGTCTTCACTGACATTTCCAGGCCTGCATAATAATTGGGAGAATCTTGGGTTCAATTAACAGCTTGGGATTCTCCACATCGTCTTTTATGGCATGAAATTTCCAGGTTTGGTGTAATTTTCCTATTTCGCTGAGAGTATTTTTAAATGGTCAGCCATAAAGAGGTTCTATACAGCAAATTATTTGTAGAGTTTATATATTTTTTCAAGATGGTGTGATAGGATTGTCAAGTAATAGACACGTACCATCCTGAAAAAGCTTACAGACTCCATCTAGAGAACTTTACCAAGATTATTCCTGTTATAGTTTTGAAAAATATCTTTCCAAGTTATGGAATTTGTAGTTATTAGATTGCAGCTGTAATAAAAAGGAAATATACTATTAATTGATGTGATTATAAAAAAATGATACAAGGCAGAGAGGATCAGACAGTATTGGTCATAACTTCTGTTTCATTATGTGTACCTGGTATATAAATAAGGTAATCTTTTAGGGTATAATCAAGAGGTTTAAAAATTTCCAACGGGAACATTTTTACCAGATTTGTTTACTAGGCTTATTACCCTGTGACCAGCCAGGGTCACTTTTGGAGGAGGTGGGGTCTACTTGGTGTAGCTGGTGATTATGTCACTGAACAACATACAGAAGGCCCATCACATGCTATCCAGATCAATTTGAGTAAAGCGTCTTGTCAAAGAACACATTCACATCAGCTTCTTTAGATTAACACAATCTGCAATGAGTCGGAATCGTTGAACCTAACACCTCACACCTTTATGATTGTTTCGTAGGTCATTGGTGTAATTGACCAAGCTATCGTGGCCTGTATACAAGATTTTTGAAATAAGATCGTACGAAAGGTATGCAAGTGAAAAGCACCTTTCAATTCAAATTTTAAATTAGGTACAATAGAGCCAAATATTTAAATGAATTAAATTGCACCGCACATCTGTTTCATCCTCCCAGGACTCGTCAGTGATGCTAGGGGCACAAATTGTTAAACTTTTTAGGAAGTGACTGAGGAAAATTGAAGTTGGTTGATATTACCATTTATCTGTATGTCTGATGTTGTTATTTTCCAGGAGTTGGTTGGAAATACACAACAGCAGAAAAACTGGAGGGGGATTGCTATTGCGCTTCTTGTCATCGTTATCGTCTGCTCTCTCATCATCACAGCCATTGTCCTCTTAACAGAAGGTAGGTTTTCCATCTAAATTTATTTCATAATTCTTGAGATTCATTTTCAATCTAATAAAAATGGTATGTATCTTTCTTTTCAGTCAATTCGTGATAGCTTTTTTCAATATTTCAAAAAGAAAAAAGGTGTTTCCATTTACCATTATTGGCTGGTGTTAGATCTAGATTAAGGCCCAGCAAGTCCAGGGGTATCAACTCGTCCTAATTCAGAATTATTCAGGGTAGTTTAGCGGAGATTTAACTTCCAGTGAGAACATTGCATGTGGACAACCACTGGAAGTACTTGCCCTTGTGTAGCCATTTGATTAAACAGACTGTCAAACTCTGAGTGTTATTTTCCAAAAACAGGGTTTAAATCAGTATAGATCTACTACTTTAAATCAGAACTACAACCTGGGATAGTTTTTAAAGAATATTAGAAGAAAAAAATGCAGAAATTGGCTTGTCTTGTGTGGTGTTGATTGGCTACAAAAATCTTTGGCATGCATTGTATACATTTTTGTTGTTTTGTCACTTTAATTTGTCCAGTTTTTTAATTAAGTGTGTTTGTTTATTTTTTCTTTTGTTTTTCCCTGCACTTTATTTTGTTTTATTTTTTCCCTTTATTTTTTGTATGCATGTTTTGTTTTTAGCGCACAGCTCCAGTGCTGAAGCTAAGGGAGGTAAGCATGCTTATCAAGCAGTGTGAATCAGGGAATTAGGGCTCTGTTAAAGCCCTCAAAAAAGAATTAAAGAGTAAATACAAGTCACTCAATAAAAAGGGGTGAGGTAAGGAGTTGAGGATTATTTCTTAATACTTCAGATGAAAACCAAGGGGAGATAATTATAAACAGGATAATATATTTTTCAAAACTTGAAGAAAAAAATGTTTGAGAATCAAATACAGAACATTTTATAGAAATCAGAACTTATGTTCTTGTTATAAATGGTTTTGCTGTTCAAAATTTACATAAACTAGTTTTTCACAACCACACAGAATAATGATAAGTAGTGCTTCTGTGATAGATATTGGTTCTTTGCCTGTCGAATATTTCACCCTTGTTATAATGTTGCACTTTTAATTTTCTGTTTTTTTGTTTTTGTTTTGTTTTAAGTTTGCATGTCCTTTCCTGTTTTGTTATTTTTAGTTGAAAGTTCCTTAACACAAAACATCAGTATCACAACAGGTAAGCATGTCAACTCCATACCCACCCATCAGCCATGCTATGTAAACAGATAAATATTTTGTTGATGTTATGATTTACTTACAACATATACTTAATCTTAGTATCTAAATAAATTTTGGTGATAGAGTTATGGTAAATTCTTATATGTAGATGTCCTTACTGAATGCAATTTAAGAAGTTTTAATTAATTAGTTAGAAAAAAGAAAAAAAAACATGCTCTTTGCACTTGTGTTCTTTTGGACTTTTTCTGACATTTTGTTATATGAATGTTCTCAATGTAAGAAATATTTATCATGTTTAATTTCATATTGATGTTAAGTCATTTATTTATATAAATTTTGTCGACAAGGCAATGACCTTATACACCTCCTCACCCGAAGTAAAAGTATTTCAGAATTATTTGGGGTAGTTAAGTGGGGATCACCTCAAGTGAGAATATTGAATGCAGACAACCACTGAAAGTACTCCTCCTTGTGTAGCCATTGGATTGAACAGACTGTCAAACTCAGTGTATTATTTCCCAAATGTAGATTTAGAACTTATGTTCTTGTTATAAATGGTTTTGCTGTTCAGAATTTACATAAACTAGTTTTTCACAACCACACAGAATAATGATAAGTATTGCTTCTGTGATAGATATTGGTTCTTTGCCTGACAAATATTTCACCCTTGTTATAATGTTGCACTTTTAATTTTCTGTTTTTTGTTTTTGTTTTGTTTTGATTTTGCATGTCCTTTCCTGTTTTGTTATTTTTAGTTGAAAGTTCCTTAACACAAAACATCAGTATCACAACAGGTAAGCATGTCCACTCCATACCCACCCATCAGCCATGCTATGTAAACAGATAAATATTTTGTTGATGTTGTGATTTACTTACAACATATACTTAATCTTAGTATCGTAATGAATTTGGTGATAATGTAAATCATTATATGAAGATTTTTTTTCAAGAGTTATTTCCCTTGATTAGTGTAATTTCCGAAGTTTCATCTAATTATTCAGAAAAAGGAAAAAAATTAAGTGCTCCTATACTTGAAACACCCCCTCCCCCAAATGAAAATAAGCATAGCTTAAACAGCCATAGAATAGTTTGTATTTGTCTATACTAAGGTTACTGCAAGGACACAATAAAAAAATTCTAATATTAGACAACAGAAAAGAAAATATAACATGTTTCTTCAGTCTAGTGTGGAGCTCTTTTTAATGGAAGTTAAATTTTACTATAAGGTTCAGGTAGCATGTTTCCTTAATGAGTGGATCAAGATCTCAGTTATCAGAGGTCAAATGTGTTTCAAGATCACATACAGTAATCATAAGTCAAGAATGGTTTAAGATCATAGTTAAGGGGGTTCAACAGTGGTTCAAGGTCATAGTTATCAGAGGTCAAATGTGGTCCAAGGTCACATTTACCAGAGGTTAAGAGTGGTACAAGATCGCAGTTATCAGAGGTCAGGAGTTGTTCAAGGTCACATTTACCAGAGGTTAAGAGTGGTTCAAGATCAAAGTTATCAGAGGTCAGGAGTGGTTCAAGGTCACATTTAACAGAGGTTAAGAGTAGTTCAAGATCACAGTTACCAGAGGTGAAGAGTTGTTCAAGATCATAGTTATCAGAGGTCAAGTGTAGGAAAGGTCACAGTTGTTAGAGATGAAGATTGTGTTGTCTTGTCTCTGGGTTCATTTAGAGCTGAGATATTGATATTGAATTTGAATGAATTAAGATTTACAGTTCAAACGTCTTTAAATCCTGATAAATTTGTTTAATTATATTCTGTTAAAAATTGTAACTTGATTTCCCTTTAATGAATCTTAAAATTTTAATGGGAAGATTTGTTATTTGCATTTAGCAAGACGTGGGTTGTTGACTCAGTTGCTGATTAAGTGTTGTTTGATAGTGGCGACAAACAAACTGAAAGATGTCGATGTCAGAGCTAAATTGGTAATATATTTAGCGGTGATTTAATTTACGACAAATTTCCAGCAGAACCATACAACACAGCACCACCTGACCTCATTACACACTTGTCAGAGAGAGTGTTACATGCACTGCAGTGATGTACTGTTTGTCAAAACATTGAAGAGATACAGATCTCGAATTATCCCTGGGGACATTTGAAATACTGATTAGGCGACAACATGACGCTTATTTAAAGGAAAGAAAAAAACCAACATTTATGTGGAATCTTTAAGCGAGTTATGTACTGAAGATTACGAACATGTGAATAAGTAATCTAATTCCCAGATCCAACTTATACTGTCTTCGTAAAATGATTTTTCATCACTTGAGTTGCGATAACAAGTTTTAAGTATAAGAGCCATGCCTGTAAAGACGATTAGGACAAGCGTGGGTTGGGATCACATGGTTCCTCACAATGGTTCCTTACTTTCTTTTTATTTTCAGTGATGGAAAAAAAATTGCAAAATATTAACAAACAAAAATTGAAGTCTGTTTCACGGTATTCATGAAAAGCATCTCGTACTTCACGCTTTTGATAATACATCTTTGCTGCAAATATTTAGATCATGAAAAAAACTGCTGTTTTATTAATTCTTTGAAAAGGAAAGAATTCTTTTATATTAGAGATACGATTGTATATGGTCCAACATTTTCTGAGAATATCACTGAAGAAAACTAATTTGTTGGCAAATCATATATACCTCCGTGAGAGAGATATTAGTGTTACTGTCGGTATTTCCTTTATCTGAAGTTGTGATGTTTATATATTTATGTCTGGTACGGAATGTTGCATGCAGCAATTACGAGGGAACCTATATTTCAAAAGGAATTAATAGGCTTGGTTTTAACCTATTCAACAGATGAAGGGCAAGAAAATATCTTTAACCTGGGTGCTTTCGACAGAACTAATTTTTAACTTGATTTTTAAGCCCTGGACCTTTAGAAGAGGCCAATACACTTATGTTTTACTCATGTCTATTCCTACTGTTCCGTTTCAAATTGTATCAAATTGGTGGCTTTCATTTCTTCAACTTAAAGTTGCAAATACAAATATGAAAACACAGATGTTCAACAAAATGATTGTAGTTTCTGATATATTTTCTCTTCCTTTGCATGAAATTTTGTCTTCGCAATATTCAAAATTTGTTTGATTGTGGGAAAGGTCCATCACAAGAACTACTGCTAAATACAGTGCCTCTGGCCGGAAAAATAGATGTGACTGTTTTAAGAGTCACCACAGCCTACCTCACACACTGTCGGATTTTCTGGTGTCTTATTTACTTTAACGTGTAATGGATGTGCACGAGTGCTGATGGGGAAATGCTTGGCAACCCAAATCGAACAGCCTTCTGCAGAGAAGTTTTACAACAGTAACGGGATTCATTTTGGTTTGACATTCAAGAAAAGACCGATATAACTTGATGTTAAACGTATTAAGTGGAACACAAAATCTCTCTTTTGCAGATTGTGCGTATTTTAAGACTGTTAGAACATGTAGGGCATGCCTGCTTCTAGATTACATTCTTGCCAAAGCCAATTTGAATTACAGCCCTAACACAGGGACTATATTGTTTTGGCTGGCTTTCTCCTGTTAACATAGTAAGTCTAATTTCATGCCCCCCCTCCTCCCTCTCCTCAACCCCCAACCCCATCCCTCCATCCATAATCTGATTTTCCAGAATTCAAAAATTACAAAGGAAAACTAAAGTGTATTATTTGAAGTAATTTGTAAAACTTAACATTGTGTGGAAATGTCTCTCTGATATTGTATACTAGGTGGGGCTGTTTGTTCCATCACACACATACTCTCATATAATGGTATATGGTAGAGTGTTTGTCTCCAGTCTTTGTAGCAAATCATCCCAGGAAACCCTAAAAC